AGGGAATTGTGGTCTCTTCTCAGTCACAGACCCAGTTGTAAAAGGGGCTCAGAGGCCACAGACATGAACCTTGCTTTCATTTTTCCCAGAAGAGGTTGAGTCCCTTCCTCCAGGAGAGGTTCAGGGCTGTGTGCTCCTTACAGAGGGAGTTATCTCCCGTAGCACCTGGTTGATCTTGTAAGGATGTGTCAGACCCCATTCCAAGGCACTTAATGTCCCTGTGGCTTATATGGGGGATCTAGTGATCTAAAGACCAATCCTGAGCACCTCTTCTTCTTTATCTGATTCAAACCTACAGAAATAGTGTGGATCTGGTGAATTTTAATTCCTCAGATATCCTTTCAAGTTCTCTGTGACTGAGTACAAGGAATGTTAGAGAGCTGAAGATATTTGGTGAACTAGAAAAGTAAGTATTAACAAAATAAGGAAAGATACTATTAAACAATAATGCTATAGAAGTAGGAACCACAGGCTGCTTCAACAAAAAATTTGCAAGTCAAAAGACTTAAGAATGGTGGGTACAGGTTTTTCATTTCATTGCATCCTCAGATTAGGAACCCTTTCTTACCTCGTGTTTTGTCTGTATTTTTCTTTTTTTTTCTGATAAAATTATTGCCTTTACCACCCCCTCACAGACACAGCAATTTAGAATAAATAAGGAAAACAAATGTAAGCAAGTATAGCCAAAGCTGCTTAGCCACAGCCTCCACAACAAAAGATGAAGTAGAAATTGCCAGTGAAAGTGGTTGAAGAACTGTCCAACAAGCATCTCAGAAAGCTGAACAAGGCTATGTGGGTATTATCAGCAGCTGGGGGAGGAAAAAAAAAGAATACAAGAAATAAAGCTAATGAATAAGCAGCTTACAGCTTTTATAAGCGACTTCAACTTTTATTATTTATTAACTTGTATTTTTGCAGATAAAGCAGTAGAAGCAACAGTACTCAGTTTTTCTTATCAGCTGTTGTACTAAGTTTCTCAGCTGTTCAATAACCCTTAGAGTCTTTTATTTAACAGGTCAAGATTATTATTATTTTTTTTTTTCCTCAGCGAGTCTATACAGGACTGGCCTAAGGCAGGAGAGGTGTTGGATACTTTTGTGAGAGTGCAAAGGCATTTTAAATTTATATGACAAAGGAAGGGAGGGACTCCAAGCACCTCTTCTATGAAATCGCTGCTATTCCGGGAAATGGATCCCGGAGTACAGGGATAAGCCCCACCTACTGCAGTGGATCTGGGACGTTACTTAAAACAAACTTCTTCCAGGTGCCGAAACAGTTCCCAAACTTGAGGAAGAAGAGATTATTTGCCAAAGTAACAGGTACCAAGAACTGCAGCTGAGAATGAATAAAGCTTTGAACATAACAAGAGAGATATAAACACACCAAGAATTCTGCATCCAAATGCTGGGAAGCAATGCAGCCCAGGCTGGCAGAGAGCTGATGACTTTGCCTTGCTATGCCTTTGTTTTGGCTGTTTCTAAGTGACCACTGCACAGCCTGAAGAGAAAAAGTTGCTGAAGTAAACTCATTAATAATTTTAAAGATTTTTGATTCCTGGGTAACTGCACTAGAGATTCCTACAACATGGGTTAAAATAAGGCCTAAAACCACACAGTAAACATAGAAGACAAAATAAGGTATTTAATAAATATATGTGATGTTTCTTTGGGGTTTTTTCCTAACTGAAAGGAATACAGCTACTGCTGCACTTTTTAGAATGAAACCCAGTTACTGTGCAATAATGGGTATTTATACTCCCTTTTTCAGACACTCAAAAATTATTTTCCACCTTTTTAGGCTTAACTAAATGAAGGTTTAATACAGGCTTTGTTTTTTTTTAATCCCTGTTTATATTTAGGACCCAAACCTCTTCAACTATAACATATCTTTCAGTTACCCATTTCTTACTAATGGCAGAACTTGATAGCTACATATCACCCAGCTAAGAGACACTGTCCTGATCTGTTAAGTGTATGCTGTGGCTTCTCCCCTGATAAGACAGAGTTGCCAGTTACAGCAATTCAGGTATGTACAGCCAAAAAAATCCACAGGAGTTTGTTCTGGGCCAAAGCAGAAAATCGTATTTTACAAATTAATTAGGAAGTGATGCTGTTAGAAAGTTGTCTGTTTAGTACCTTCTCTGATTTATCTTATCTCCTCAAAATGTAAACATTTTACTGAACCTCCAACAAACCCTTTAAATGTATCTAATGAAAGTGAGGTAAGAGTTATTACTGGATTTACAATATTTTCCCATATTCAGAGGAACAGAATACTCAACTGTAAACACCACTGAGACACTTAAACTGTCAAGTTATTCACAATGTCCTTGGGCAATTTACAGGGAGAGTCTCTGGTGCCATACCCTGCAAGATTCTGGGTGGTGCTCTAAAGAGAAGGAGAAATCAGCTGACTTCTTGGTAGTTGTGTGCATAAAACAGCATATTAATCTTAGAGGAGGTTCTATTCATTGTTGAAGCAGAGAATGAGAGGCATTTCTTAGTTATTCCTATCAAGCCTTTGGCACTGATAAGTGCTCTACCATACAGAGGCTGTTATTTGTCTGGGGAGAGGATTGATTGCCTGCAAGGTAATGGCAAGTGCACAGCAGCAAGTGGTATATTTTTAACTATTTTATGCCATATATTTCTGTCAGCAATTAAGTGAAATCTTAATATATTTTATAAATGGTCAAGGTTTTCCTGTGTACAAACCTGAAAATCAAAGCACAATTCTTAAATTCAGCGTAACCATCTTCACCTTTGGTGCTGTTGAAGCAGTATTTGAGAACTCACATCACCTTTAGGGTGTTGCTAATTTTCCCGATGTTCAAATAATTTGTAGCTAAACCAGAACTCAGAAAAAGTGTTGAAAATAAGACAGTCTGTTCTGTGAAATCCTAGAAAACATGGGAAACTTCTAATGAGGTTTCACTCGGATGTACTTATTTTAAAACGAGGAAGAATTCTTTTCTAGTAAACACAAAATGAAGGAATTCTTGGTTTGACCAATGACTCCTCTAGGGACCAAGGATTCTTTCTAGCTCTTAATTTGCTCTAAAAGACAATGATGACCCATAAAATACCTTGAATAATCACACAGCATAATTTGATATAGCTTTCTAGGGAATTTATTAAAACCATTTGCATAGTACAGTGATAGTCTCCTGTGGGATTATCTAATAGATTTTTTAAGGAAAACAGATAATCCCTACAGTGAGAACAAAAATGCAATGGCTCAGACAATACAGCAACATTACAGAATTACTAAATTCAAACCATCAGATTTGCTGTCAGAACTGCACTGAGAGGTGCAAGAGGAGCTGATACAGTAGCTGAGATGAATAATCTGGCAGTCAGGAAGATGCTGAAGGTTTCTGTCAGTGCAGTTCCGGGAGCTGCTTCCGAGTCAGAGCTGGTTCTGTTTGAGTTACTGTTAATATATTGCTTGTGAGCAGAAGTGGATGTTGATACAGTAAATGAAGTAGAGGTCAGCTCCAGGTATGCACATAATTATTTAATAATTGTACCTCATGATAGCTCTCAAAGAGTTTGTATCATCTTGGGGAGTGAAAGGTCTCTGCAAATATTTCAATATTTTAGGCTATGGTGACCCATCCCACCAAATTACAAATTGCAAGTCTACTATACTTACTAGCACACTTCAAAGTGTTGTTTTAACACTACCAAGGCCAAATATGAAGACAGTAACATTATTAGTCATTAAAATACACCTTTCCTCCCTTACAGTTAGAACCCTACTAAGAACAGCTCTACTTTTTTTTTTCTGACAAATTAGGTATTGCTTTGCTCCAATAGCAAGTCTTGCACAAAGCTACTTTCCAATTAATGTTCTTGGAATGTTCACCTCAGTAACTTCTGTAGTTACTCAACAGATACAGTCTGGTTCAATTAGATCATTTAGAAAATACTAGGAGGTTATTATTTTGCAGGTTTATTTAATGTTAACAGCTAGTCAGATCTACACATGGCTGCAATTTATCAGATCTTCCTCGACCCTCCACTTTGTGCTTAGCTGACCAGACCATTTCCCCCCATTATTGTGAAATCCTTACGCCTATCCTGAGATTCAGTTGTCTTGTTTCACTTCCCTAACTCTGCTGCATAATTTACCTGCAATTCAAGAAAAAAAAAAGCAGGAGAAATCTTTATCACAGAATCATAGAATACTCTGAGTTGGAAGGGACCCAGAGGGATCATCGAGTTCAACTCCTGGCCCTGCACAGGACAGCCCCAAGAGTCACACCATGTGCCTGAGGGTATCATCTGAACACTCCTTGAGCTCTGTCAGCCTTGGTGCTGTGACCACTGCCCTGGGGAGCCTGTTCAGTGCCCATCCACACTCCTTGGGAAGAACCTTTCCCTGAGATCCAACCGAAACCTCCGCTGACGCAACTTCAGGCCGTTCCCCGGGGTCCCGCCACTTGTCACAGAGAGCAGAAATCGGAGCTGGCCCTCCACTGCCCCTCATGAGGGAGGTGCAGACCCCAATGGGGTCAGACCTCAGTCTCCTCCAGGCTGAACAGAACAAGTGCCCTCGGCTGCTCTAACTGAGGGGCCGAGTTACCCACAGCACACCAGTGAGACCACAGTGTTGTGTCCCATCGCCTGCACCCACAGCGGTACCCGACAGGGGCACGGGGCCACTGAGGGGGGACAGCACTGGCAGCACTGCGGGTGTCCCCCAAACGCGACACGCAGGTGTGCTCTCACACTTGTACAGGTACGTTCAACCTTTCTCTCCACTCCTTTTTCCTTCCAGGGTTTGTCTTGAGCGTGAGACCCCAGTGGTCCTGTTCCGGCTGATGCTGCCGGTGGGGCTGGAGCTGCCCCGGGTGGCTGGGGTTGCTGAGGACTGGGGTTGCTGAGGGCTAGGACCACCCCAGGATGCTCGGGCTCCTCTCGCCGCTGCACAGCCCGCGGCCAAAGCCCGTCTGTCCGCCCTGTTCTCGGCAAACACTGCCACCGACAGCCGGCCCCGCTCCGAGGCGGTGCCCGGGGAGGCGCATCCCGGCGAGGGGCAGCCCGGCCCCTTTTCCCTGGCGCATCTCCCGGCCCTGGAGCCGCGGGAGGATGAAGCAGGTAGAGGGGCGGGCGGGGCGGGATGCTCGGGGGGCGGTGCGGCCCCCCCCGGTCCCTGCGCACTGACCGGGTCCCCGCCGCAGGCGCTGGTGGACGACACCGAGGATGTGTCCCTGGATTTCGGGAGCGAGGAGGAGCTGGCGCTGCGGAAGGCGCGCATCAGGTAACGGCGCGGAGGCCGCAGCATCGCGGCGCCCGTGCGGCCCTCGCTGCTCCGGCTGCGCTGATGCACGAGAATACAGAAAGCTCCTTTTAAACGCCTAATTCCCATTTTTTACAGAGAGGGTGGTGAAGTTCTGGAACAGGCTGCCCGGGGAGGATGGGGAGCCTCCGTCCGGGAGATGCCTGGGCTGGAGCAGGCGAGGCCCGGCCGCGCTGCCTGGCATCACCCGGCCATGGAAACGGAAACCTGACACACCCAACGCTCCAAAACCCCAACCAAACTACTTTTGTTAGAGCTGGAGCAGCAGAGAGGCCTCTCGGCTCCAGCAAAAGCAGCTGTGCTGCGGTGCTCAGGCATTGCACTGCACACCTGGCTGAAGGGAATCAGGAAGGAACCTGCAATAAAACCATCATGCTTTCCTTCCACAGGGTGTGATGATGTGTGGAATATTGTACATTTTATCCTCATAGATGTTACCTAAGAAAATCCAACCCATTCACCCCTCTCACCAGGTTAAGCTGTCTGCCTTTGGGTTTGTCACCTTGGGTGTCACTCTGCAGCTCTGGCCACACCGAGGTCCCAGGTGACAGAGCTGTTGTTTCATAGTGGCTTTTGAAGAATCTTCAGCCAAAGATTGTAAAAGGAAGAGTTTCATGTCAAAAGAAATGATATATGCACTCACCAATAATGTACATAATCAGCTTTGATTTAGAATGGTTTCTTACACTTTGCCCCAGTTTACTCTGGTCCATTACAATGATAATATTTCTTCTAAGTGTAAACAAATAAACATAAGAGATGTTAAACCTGACAAAATGCTATCTGAGGTCACAAGCAATCATACAGCTTTATAATACAATTGCTCTGTTTTACTGGTGTCTGGTGAAGCATTTCTGCCCTTACACTTTGGACTGTATTGGACTTTACTGTAACTGCATGCTGAGTCAGCCTTCAGCAGCAGCACAAATTTTAAATGAACATTTATATTTTGCTGTAGTCTTGGAGGCATAGCCCAAAGGATTCAACTAAACTGAGAAATACAGCTCAGAAGTACCTTGAGCACAAGAACCTCAGATTCCGTCTGTGGGACCAGACTAGACTGAGCATGAAGTGAAACCACCCTGAAATGTTTGTAGGGAGCCCACAGCACCAAGTACTTTACAGATCTGCTCCTACTGGCCCACACTGCTCAATAAATACAGACAAGCAAAGTTCAGCAAACCACACTGTTATGTGACCAACTTTGTGTAGACACTTATTTCATTAAAGACAGGTCTTCTTTCTTGCTCTCATAACAACATTAAAAGACAATCTCATACTGAAAATTCATCTGCTCTAGAATGCAGAAATGAAACTGTATTCACACAGAACTGCTTACACTGTTCACACAGATGTTTGTTTTTAGATTTCTGAAGAATCTTTTCTAAACAAGCCTGAAAAACACCTAGGTGCTGCAAAATTTAGTTGTCTTATTAGAGGGCATAACAAGATGTTCCAATCTTTTGCCTTTATCCCAGTTTCATATATCTTGAACTTGGTTAGAATTCACATAAGCTATGACAAGATGTACTTTTGTGATTCTCCAAGGAATGTGCAAAAGAGCTCTTTAAAAGCAAAAGGTTAATGGCTATTTTCCTAGGAAGCTAGAAAAAGATAACTTACATCATCTTTGCAGTTCACTGCAGTACCAGAACACTGGATCTGGAACAGTCAGGAGCATACAATCACTTTTTCACAAATCAGCCAGGCAACACAATGATCAGAGATTCAAAATTTGCCTCAATATGTTTGAAGTACCAGACAGAAAAAAAAAAAAAAAAGGCAAACAGCATGTAGAGTGCTGCTGTGGCACTTCTGAGCAGGAACAGGGAGTGATTCTCCTGTGGGTCAGTGGCACACGTTAGGGCTGACCCAAATATGATTCCTTAATGTGGAATGCAATTAAATTTACAACAGCTCATTCCTGTCCTAATAGGCATCGTGCTTGCAAAGTGAGCAGAGGTCATTGTAACAAGGTAAAACTTCAGCCTCGAGGCTCCAGTTCTACTCTATAGGGAGGTTTAGATGCAACAGGAAAACTGAAAGTCCAACCATGTGGGTTGCTATGCTTCCAGGAGCAAATGTCTGGCAAGCAGAGTTTCAGTTACCTTCGTCCTTTACCGGATTTGAATGAAGAAAAGGAAAAAAGAAAAGTTACGATATTCTAGAGCCTGTCCTGTCTCCCATTAGTACAAGGAATAATGTGTGTTTATGCAATGATTTCTTAATGCCATTGTATTTCTGGATATTAACTTTTAAAAGAGTGTTATAGAGTACAGTTTGATTCAATATAAATGCATTCACAGAAAAAAAGCTAGAAAGTTATTTTAAAAAGGATGCAGATTGTTTAGTTTCAGGTTTTAGAAGCTGATCATCTCATCAAAACTTCTATTTGTATATGATAGGTACTATAAATTTCATGATGACTGTGAATTAAGAGAACACATTTTTTTTTGTTATGTGAGGAAGTGAACAGTTTATTTACTGGCTTCCATTAGTTTCAGGATTATTATTTTTCTTAAGCATAAATTTTCTGAGGATGAGAGAGCTGTCCAAAAAATGAGGTGCAAGTTTTGATGCATCTCTACATTCCTCTCATAGGACAAGAACCTGCAAGTCTGTCTGTGGCTTGGTGAGCATGTCCTTGGGAGAGGACACTGACATTCCACAGCCTCAACAAGTGTTCAGCACTGTAATAAATGAGAGCTTCTTGCTCATGGACTTTTTTTTTTTTCAGTAAATACCCTTCAAAGTTTGATATTGGAACAGATTCAGCATCCAAACAGTAATCCTGTTGTAATCCAGTAATCCTGCTGAATCTGCCTTCCAAAATGAAACACTGCTTCTCCAAAGTCACTGTCACCTTTGAAGCACCGATACAGCTCAGTCCACCCCGGTGTGAGTAGCGAGGCACTGTCTGGTTTTGACAGTTCACAGTGTCCACCCCACTCCACCCACCTGCTTACAGCAGAAAAATCCCCTTTCGCTTAAAATCTGACATGTTTAGTTGTAAGTCAGAAGAAGTTTTTGGAAAGTTTGAAGTTAACACGGGCATGACCAGGAGTAAATATAAACTACAGCTGTGCATCATTTTGCCTTCTCCAGTCATGTGTGTAGTACTACAAGCACAGGATTGACATTATATAAATATACAAATGTAGAACAGTTAAACAGCTATAGAATAATATTACAATAAGGATCTTTAAATAGTTATTGTATTTATATAGCTATTATTTAAGTTTATAATAAACAATTATAGTTGTGTATATATTTTATATCTTATTTTATTATACACAATAATAGAATAACATTCAACTGTTGAATAGTTAATTATGGCCCAGGCCACACTACTGTTAATTGTTCATAGAGGTGGAGGAGCTTAATAAGACAACTGCTGACTTAAATAAAAATATCTTATTCAGAAAACAAATTTTATTCACTCATCTTCAAGGGAGAAGTTGTTTAAATGCAATCGCCTCTAGTTAATTCTCACTTTCAACTAATTAACCCAACCACAGTGGTACAGAGTAAGTTTTATACTTGGCATATTACCCTGAAAATTGTACTGTGCTCATTCCATCATTCTCCAACCCCCTGTTCCACTGCACAGGCCAATATTCCATGTCATATAGTTACTTCTTTCACTGAAATGCCTCCTTATTTTGTTACAGACAAAATTTTGTTGGATTAGCAAAGTATAAATATCCTGTGAAATTAATATGCAATAATTCATAAGAACTCTTGGATTCCCAAATTGCTCTCCCTCTCTAAAAGGAAGTGTTTGGGTTTAGACAATAAATATGAAGGTTCATTTTGTCTTACACCAAACAGTTACTTTTTTTTTTAGTTTCAGAGTTCCTGTTTTGTTTTCAAAACAGTTCTGAAAGGCGTAAGAATTATCTCAATTATTTTGTGCTTTGAAAAGCTGGTTTATTTTATGAAACAAAGGGGTTTTTTAGGATGCTGTTGAACACAACCACTACATTCCTTCACATAGTACCAAAGAAACTGGTGAAAGGCTCCTCATTTTGTTCTGTCTTTGAGAAAGTTTTGACATGAACACCACATTCATCTTTTAGCTTTAGATTGAAGCTTGGCCCTTGAAAATACTATTGCTTTGATAATGAAGGTACCTATCAACATTTGAAATAATAGAAGCTACAATCCAAAACACCACTTTAAAGTAAAAATAATTGTGTTATACTACAGCATCAGCGAGTACTGTAACATTCCTTCTTGTCCCATCACTTCATTCATGCTCTGTGTTTTCTTTTCTAGGCACCCACTGGCCACCTTTTTCCACCTGTTTTTCCGAGTGAGTGCTATTGTTACCTACTTGTTCTGTGACTGGTTCAGCAACAGCTTTGTTGCCTGTTTTGTCACTATTCTCCTCCTTCTATCCTTTGACTTTTGGTCAGTCAAGGTAAGATGACCCTGAATAGTAATTACCTTTGAAAGTATTTTGCTTGCCATTAAATGAAACAACAAAGGAAATATGCATATTGACAAAACACCAATAGCATTGTGATCTGTTGGTTTATTGCATTTCTAGCCCACTTTAATGAAGATGTTTACATATGTTTGTTATTGTTTATCACCATGTTCTCTATGGCTGGTGGGAGCTACTAAAATGGTGAGAAAATTGTTTTGCTCTGGGTAGATTTCTTTGTATTTTCCCCCTTAAAAAATTACAAATTAAAGTAACGAATGCCTGAGGATGTTCAGAGCTGCAGACCAGATCCCTGTGGGGGCTGCAGGAGGGCCCTGGAAGCCCAGCTATGGCTCTAGTGCCCTAATCACATGCAGGCAGGTGGGTCAGGCCAGCCCAGGATTCAGGGGCTCCACATGTGGAACCAGGTTTTTGTTCTGTAGAGGTGAAGCATTGATGTGTCTCTGGTATTCTGAAAGCTTCCAGTATTCATCCAGGTGCAGGAATATTTTCTTAGTTTGTTTGCTTGACCCACACAGTTTACTTGCTTATCATTAATCTCCCATTTTTCAGCGTGTTTTTGTTCTCAGTGCTCCTCTTTTACTGAGAAAATTTGTTTATTGGGTGCTTGTCCAACCGATTGACTTGAAAAAGATACAGCCTATAATTTCTTATCTAAATAAGTGCTATTGTGCTAATCATCATATTAAAAGAGAACAGGCTTCTAAATTTGTGGTAATTTCATCCATCATTAATGGCCATTGTGCTCAAGCTGGCACAGCTTTTAGAAGCAATTTTAGCATTTGATAAAAGATGATTGTTGAACATGCTTGTCTTTTTTATTTTTGACTGTTAGTCAGACAAGTGACTTGTGCTACTGATTAATGCAAATAATGGTTTCATCACTAGAACGTGACAGGAAGACTCTTGGTTGGTTTGCGTTGGTGGAACCAGATTGATGAAGACGGAAAAAGCCACTGGGTGTTTGAAGCAAAAAGGGTAAATATATTAATAGAAGTAGGCACAGGGCAAATAATCCATAGGAAATTTGTAAAGCTGATGCTAAGTCAAATAGAGTAACAAATAGAGCACCTTTGTAACAGTTACTTTTTATCCAGCTTCTATAGAACACAATGTAAGCATTCAGGTGCAAACACTGGTTTGTCACATCCTGGAAGCCTGCAGGACAAAGCTGGTCTCAAAACACTGTCAGCACATGGATCAGCAGAATAAATATTCACAGCATGGTGCTGTAGGTATGAAACATTTCTGGTGGTTCTGTTCTATTTTCTAGTGAGAATATCTTGCAACAAACACATCTAGATAATGTCAGCACAGAATCCTTTTCAGGAAAGATCTATGTGGAAAGCAGTGCTTAAATAGTTCAGATTCCTTATCACTCTCTACAGCTCCCTGACAGGAGGGTGTAGCCAGGTGGGGGTCGGTCTCTTCTCCCACACAACCAGCAATGGGACAAGAGGTCACAGTCTTAAGCTGTGCCAGGGGAAGTTTAGGTTTGGACATTAGGGAGAAGTTCTACACAGAAAGAGGGATTGGGCATTGGAATGGGCTCCCCAGGGAGGCAGTGGAGTCACCATCCCTGGAGATTTTTAAAGAAAGACTGGATGAGGCACTTGGTGCTGTGGTCTGGGTGACAGGGTGGTGTTGGGTCACAGGTTGGACTCGATGATCTCAGAGGTCTTTTCCAAACTACTTGATTCTGTGATTCAGTATTTTAAAATTAGTATTTCATTCATGCTCATAAAATATGGTGGGGAATAGAACCCGGATCACAGAGCACTCTGATACTGCCAGTGCTGCCCCAAACACCCCGAGCAAACAAGCTACAAAATGGCATTTGGCGTCACTGCCAGAGTCAAGACTCAGGGTTTTGCCTGATTCCGGGAAGAGCCTGGCAGAACAGCGCCCAAGTGCTGCTCGCTGGGCCATCCATCCCTCTGGGCCTCCCGGGTGTGCTCCCGGCCGGGCAGGAGGCGGCTGTGCGGGGCTGGAGTGCCCTCTGCAGCCCCGCGCCGGGCGGGAGCTCAGCGCTCCCCTGAGCGGAGAACACACACACGCACGTGTGACCCGTAATCTAAGCGAAGCTAAAGGCAGACAACGAAAGAAAAGAAAGCAGAAGGCTGTCAGAGTGTCTTAGTTCTGTGGAGACACGAGTCAAGAGCTTTCTAGCACTTAAAAGCAATGGCATCCATAAAGTGACCTCCAGACCTCAAAATTACTGAGAGATGAGCAAGACTTGTTCACCTATTACAGTTTTTAATCCTAGCCTAGAAGTACCAAGTTGATTCACCTGCATGGGCTAAAGCCTTCCAAAATTCCTGGCAAGTGGTAACTTTATTAATGTAAAAATTATAGTACCATAGGAAGGTACATATAGATTTTATTTTTGCCATGAGAAAGACTTTGTCATAGCAAAGTCCTGGAATACATGCAGTTCTCTTACTTCCCAGAGTCAGGCATTCCCATCTCCATCTCTCCCACCTCCTTTGCCAGTCCTCTGGCAGCTCATTAAGCTCTCTTGCTTTATAGGTACGTATGCTTAGAAATATTCCAAGTCACTCACCAACAACCAATTCTTGGCACGTGGTTGCTGCAACAGAGGTTCATCTCCAAAATCCTGCTTTCTGCTGATGCTTGCTGAAAGAAAAGCAGTTGTCACACTTACAAGTCTGCTAACTGCAGCCTTTTGTAGTCTTTCACCAAATTAACCAAGTCTTTCAGGTGCAAAGTTCTCAGGTGTATTGACTTTGGCTTTGGGTTTTTTCCTCCTACATAGTTGGTGCAATGCAATGCCACTACTGGGTAATGTGTCAGTAATTCAGGATACAAGTGATTAAACCCTTTTATTGAGTCAGAGGACCTGTCTTTTTCTGTAACTATGAAGGCATAGAATGTTATTCTCTGGACCTCTGCAACGTCACTGGTCTAGAGGGTACATGAAAAAGTTAAGACACCTCATAGTTATTGCATCTTTCAGGGTTTTCTTAGGCAAGATGGAGTAATTTAACCACATTTACAAGTTGCATGACAATGTCTGCCTCATGGGGGAAGGATGGATTAGTCTTATTTTTACATGGAAAATTCAATATACTGAAAATTACCTAAAAGGCTTTTCAGTTTTCAGAGTGGAAGAGTCTAGAGGGTTTTCTTTTCCAGGTGTGAAGCTTTATGTTTCAGAAGCTGACATTGGTGGTGGCTGAGTGGTCTGAGGTTTGGAGTAAGGTTTTGAAAACTTTGGAAAGATCAGAACCTTCTGTACAATTCTCTTCCTTATTTTTTTTAAAGTGTAGTCATTAACAATGAGCCTTCCAGTAAAGACAGAGACACGAGTTGTGCTGACCTAAGGAAATCTGCAACCAAGGCTTTTGCAGCCTGCTCTGAGGTGGTGTGCTCTCCCTCAAGAGCCCAGATATTTGTCATTTATTGTGCATTTTGACTTGGTGACTGGTAGCTTCAAGAATTTTCCTTCCAGGTGCCTACAATTGCTGCCTCAACTGAAGCTGAAGCCCGAATCTTTTGGCTTGGTCTCATCATCTGCCCCGTGATTTGGACACTGTTTCTCTTTAGCACCTTGTTCTCCTTGAAGCTGAAATGGCTGGTGAGTCAGGGGATAATGAAAGATCTACAGCTGACAGACAATCTTGGTAGAGGGAAACCCCAGATCTGTTGGTCTTGAACCAAATCTTCCAACAGTACAAAAATCCCACCAGCAGCTTCAAGGAACCCCAAGGAGTTTTCTGCAGTCAAGCCCTGCACTCTGGAATGGATTAGGAATTTTTAGCTGCACTTCTAATGGGTTATTGGATGTCAACTCCTTTGTGTGACTGGAGAAGCTCAAGTGATGGGCAAAATTTTGGCCTGCTTTGTAACTGTAGCAACTTACTCTTCCCCAACTTATTTCAGTCAAATGACACTATTGGAAGAATACAAAAAATGAGCTGGTGATGCTGGTTTTCAGGTTTTCAAGTCTCCTTGGGATTTGAATGCTACTTACTCTGAAAAGTAAGGATTTTAGATCTCTGGTACCATTCCCTTTTGAAAGAACCAGCATCATTAGTGCTTAAAACCTTGATAAATGGAGCTATGAGTATGTATTTTATAATTACTCTATTTATAAGCCATCTACTTTACAAAAAAAACAAAACTCAGCACTTTTTCCCTAAATACAAGAGGAAATGTACCCCATATATTGCATTACGTTAAGATATTTTTGTCTATGAAATCTTCATGTTTTCCCCTGCAAATATTAAGTGCTTGGATAATCATCATAGAATTCATTCTGTCACATTCCCAGCCGTGCTCAGTACCATTTCTTAATTCAGTATGGAAAGATAAAAGGCGCCTCCAACACGTGCAGCCACATCACCAGTTAACAGCCAAGATTACATTTTATTATTCAATTAAACAAGAAATTTAGCTATGGGCAAATCATTAACTGCTTTTTTGGTGCCCCAAACGGCACAGCTAAAAAAGCAACAGTTAAAATTAAACCAGCACTCTTTGTTCGCGGCTCCACCTTTATTTTTGAAAACCAGAGATTGTTTGCTAAGCCAAGAATCGGTTGGAAACAGAACCCCAACTGGCTCTGAAGGCAGGTTGCTCAGGTGCTCGTAAAAGAGCAAGTTACACAAATGAAAATTAGATCCTTCCAGGAAACTGGTCCTGAGGCTGAGAAACATTTCTCGTAAGTTATTCCATTAATCAGATGGGTTCCACCTGCTGCTACACCTGTAGTACCACAAAAGGAGCCAGTTATTTTCATTGCCTGTCAATGCTAGATAGGGATTCCTATCTATGGATGCTCTTTGTAAATCTGTAAATTACAGGATCTTATTTGTATCTAAGGCATTTGGCAGCTAACCACACCTGCAGTGTGCCATGGATCTGAATGTGAAACTTTTAGATACAACTCAGGCTTCAAAAACATTAAATGTTTCCGGAATCTGTTGAGGAGGTTCATTTTTGAATAAGTGCTTTTAGGAAAGTAATGAAGTCTTTAAAGATACAGAATGACAAAACTGGTATCAGTGTTCTGGTAAAAGAGGCATTTTGTAGGAAGGAACTACTGTGTTTAAGTTTGACAAGATTGGATCTCTTCGAAGGTCATTTATTATTGGAAGGACTATCCCCCTCTTACAGCACACATTTCCCTAGGTGGTATGTACAGGTACACACGTGTGTAGATCCTACACAGTTAATATGTAGTGGTGTATTTGTCCCTGCTGAACTTCTGTTTGTCCACAGGCTCTCGTGATAGCTGGGATCTCCCTGCAGACTGCTAATTTATATGGCTACATCCACTGCAAATTAGGGGGACAAAAAACCATCAGCAGAGTAACTTCGAGGTTGTTTGGCACAGCAGATGTTCCCCAGAGTAAGTACTGAGCTGTCTGTGAGGCAGCACAGGCCAACCCACCTCTCACGGTTGGTTCTGGCTCTTCCCAGGTCTCAGTTCCCGCAGGAACTCCTGGCAGTGTGATCCTGATCCTCCAACAAGCCTCTCTTGCAGTGTCACACAGAGGGGCCCTACCCCAGGTCACTGTGCTCTGTGTTTGGAAGCCTCCTGAGCTTCACAACTGAGCTGCTTCCAAGCTTTAGGAAGAATGTCCTCTGAAGTGAAACCCTTGCAGTTACTGCAATGGGAATGTAATGCCTCTGCTTAGGCACAGCTGGGAGAGCCATCCTGAACCCCCAGGCTTCCGCCTGGCTCTTCCCTGCTTTTATAAAGATTCCCACGTCCCAGGTTCTGCTGACAGCCACCTGTCCTCTGTTCACTCTGCAGGGCAGAGCAGGAGGATTTCAGAAGATGGAACTGAAGAACATGGCAAGACAGTCCCTAGGTAATCAAACAAGGAAGAACTCAAAGGATGAGCAGTAAAACTACTAATTAAAGCTGTTCTTCACATGAAGATATTTAAATAAAGCTCTTCTAGAATTATGCCTGCATGAAATAATGTCATCTGTGTTTGAGTCTTTAGATCCTGAAAGGTTTACAGCCTTTGTAACCTAAAAGCTTCCCCAAAAATGATTTATACAGAGCACGCTGCTTCCACAAAAACTAACCAGAAACTGCTGGATTATCTTAGCCAAGAATTAAATGTAATGAAAAGACAATGCTAAGTTGTTTAATTTTGGAACTACAACAGACAAAATCAATCTGCCTTTCCCTTTTGTACACAATACTCACTTTTCAAAGCTTTGATTCCTCAATAAAAACAGGAATTACAATCCCAAAGGGCCTCTTAGTTATTAAAGATACTGAATGTTTATGTAGTATTGAGGCTCAGGGTCAAATAGAAAACAAAATTCAGGGGGCATGTTCACACAGTGCGTGTGTGAAGCAGGCAGTTATGTATTGTTAAAATATGTTAATCTTATTTTGATATCTGTGGAAAAAAAAATAAATAAAATGCTGTACTTGTGCTATAATACTACACTGAATTTCACTCTAGATATCGATCTTTTCCACTGGAAGGAAAGACCCTTAAATGAAGTTATTCCGGGTCAGAACCAGGCATTACAGTTCATCCCAGCACAGCAGGCAGGACAAAGGCCTGCACACCACAGCAGCTACATTACACGATGCCCCACTGTCAGCCCAGCATATTTTACATTCAACTGCCCAAACAGAATCTTGTTTTCAATGTCTTCAAATGCCAACTTCACAGTCAGGTTATTAGTACCACGACACCAAAGGCAGAATCCACCTCTTAACCCATATGCAGACGCAGTTTCACAGCTTTCTAGTGAGGGAACAACTACAAGAATCCTGAACTACAGGAAACACTAAGGCAAGAACATTTATATTAAGAATTTATTTGCAATATACAAAAAGAATACATTCCTTCTATTAAATCAAGGCATAAGTTACTTTTAAACAAGAGCTACATTTTTTATTCCACAGATTAGATCATCTTTTCTTCTTGAGAATGCTGTTGTTCACAGTACTCCTGAATTCCTGCAAAGACAAAGAAAAAGTAATATAAATGGTATTTCAGTTGCACATCAGGAGTTTGTTGTTGCTGCATCACTGTATCCCCTGTCGGTACAAATATCTCAAGCTGGACCTTTATCAGGGTGAAAATGGCTTCAGGAATTTCCCAGCTGTCTGCATTTTGTAACAGCACATCACCAGCTCTTTAGGTGGTTTCTGAATGGGAGTTTTGTGCCTTTACAGTTAGAAGTGGAGGCATTAGTCAGCCAGCTGCATCCCATGGGTTATGGAGCACCCTCCACAGGCCTGCTTGAGAACCTCAGAACTTTTCTGTGAGAGCAAGGGCACACACATCTCTGCAAATGAATGACTGAACCAAACACAGAAACCAGCTATCAAACACAATCTCCTTAGGGCTTTAAAAGCCTGTCAGAACCGATGCCCAGAAGCAAACGAGGTATTTGCAGCTGTTACTTTCAGAATTGCTATGCACATTTCCTGTTTTATAATTTGTGGCAGAATAATCCTGTTTAACACCTTTATATATTGCAGCAGTGCTCGGAACCGAGAGTGCACAGTGATTCTCAAACTTACTTTGAATGATATTCCTGTAAGATAATGTAGCTGGAGAATCTGGTGCTTCAGACAGGAATGACTGGCCTCTGTCACAACTTCTTCCTTGAAGGACAGAGAAAAACACAAAAGCAAAGCAACAAGAAAAGATGAGCTTTTATTTTTTTTACCCTTTATCCCACTCCAGTTACACCCTTTCAAACAGCCACCTACATCTATTCCTTTTAGGAAGCCCTGATGTCAGTAATAGGACTACAACTACAGCTTACAGTTTCACAGAGGAATTGTGTTAGCAGAAACCCTCACTTGCTGTTTTGGGAGTATTGACCTGTTCCTTGATGTCATTAATTCAGGTATTAATTGTAACAGCTGGTGGGAAAGGAACCAAGACACCTCAAAATCCACAACAGAATTTGGGCAGTGCCCAAACAGTGAGCTTAAAGCACTAGTTTTAATGCTTAACATCTACAAGGTATTATTCTTTGAAGTGGTTATGATTTTATTCAGCCTGCATTTCCAGGTGATTGCACCAAAGAGAAAGACATGTTGTATTTCAAATATGATTACAGAGCTGAAAAGATGCATCATCTAATCTTAATTGATTAAAGTTTCAGGTTAAGGAAATTACCAGAGCACTTCCCTCATTCACATCATGCTATGTCACAGTTCCAGTAACTTTAAATTCAAAAAAACCTTCTATCTAAAAGTGGATATTTACCTAAGAGACATCAGTGCCCACATCAGGTTTTTCCAGTAATAACATCAGTATAGGAGGAACAACTTGTTTTAGGTTCAGTGCAATATGTAACTTTACCTATTTGTGGATCTAGAGGCACTTTACCCAGGAGGGAAACATTCAAATTCTGGCACATCTTCTCTGAACCACCAGTAGTTGGGGGAAAGATCTGAGATTCTTTCTGGGACAACAGGAAAATCAGAGTTAAAATATTGCAATTCTGAGAACAAGGCATTTTTGGAGCAATGTTTTATACACAGTGCCACAGTAAATATGCTGTAACACCCAGCCAGCCTTACCTTACACTTTGGACACACAAAGCCACTCATGTTTTCCACAACACCTATGATGGGCAGTTTCACCTTGTGGCAGAAGTTGATCTCCTTCCGAACATCCTGAAGTGAGATTTCCTACAAATATTAGCAAAGGCTCATATTTCAATTGTCATGTTTTCATGCTGAATCCATTCAGTTACCTCCTTAGACCCATTTTAAGGAGAGTTTATAATGAATTATTACTTCTGTCTTAATATTTTGAGGAACAGAAATCTGTGCTACGTGCTCTAGCAACAATTCTGAGGAGCAACAGAGCAGGTCCAACAGCTCCAGCCTACTGGATGTGGTTCTGTTTTGAAATCTGACTCTATAAAGATTCACCCACATTTATCTCCTATGTTCACCTCATATCTTCAGTTCTTTTAAGGCAACTTATTCATGTTTTCAGTTTACAGAAGGACCCTTGGTATTGTCCATAGAGGAAGGACAAGAACCACCAGGCTTACACTTGTTACGTCTTCCAAAATAAATTTAAAATATCTTCTCAGACTTTTTGCATATATGCTTGCCCTCACTCATTCTCCTGTTCTCTTCTCCTTCCCTCACCACCTCTCTGGTATCACTCTCACCACTTCACTTCCTTTATGTGTTATCCTTTCAGCTGCTGTGAAAATACTACATGTCTTTTCCTCTCCAAACCAGGCATTAAAACCTCTGTCTGAACTGGACATATTCTGAATTTCAGCTTGCCAGGGGCTGATTTCTCTTTTAAAAATGCACAAGACAAAACTGCCTACTGGAGGTGACAGGTTACTTCACAGATGTCAAACAGCTTATCACTTAAAAACTAAGTTTCTTACTGACATTCTTCGGAGCATTAAGCCATTGGTGAGTAAATTACAGATTCACAAGGATGTGAACCCTAATTTTGAAGAAGGAAGTGAAACACTGCATTTCCTTTCACCTCACAGATCACAACAGCTTTTAATTGTGAACTGCCCTGTGGTTTAGTGACCCAGTGGCATCCCCAGCTCCACTGAGACACCCACCCAACCCACACACCAGCACAACACAACAAAGTCAGTCCTCAGATTCTGTACCCTCAGGTTTCTCTGAAGTTCAACAGCTCTAACCCCAGGACTGCCTTTAACTTGTGAGTTGCTTCTCCATGGCAATTCATCTCCTATACCTGCGGGGTGGTGACTATGACAGCCCCATCGATGCGGGTGGCACTGAGGTACTGCACGATGGACAGGTGCTCGTCCGACGTCCCTGGAGGTGTGTCCACGATCAGGTAATCGACCTCCCCCCAGTCCACGTCACGGAGGAACTGCTTGATCAACCCTAAAAGAAAGGATAAGGATATGAAAAAAGAGAAAAAAAAGAATCTCCCTGTATTTCAGATTTTAGGGTGTACTTCTACTTCTGTAGCCCAGGCAGAAGATTCTTCTGACTTGTCAGCTTCAGGACAAAAACATGTATTTTGACAAAGCTTAAAAAAATATAAATAAAAAGACATCATTTGACCTTTAACTTCAACAAATGAGCATGTTCAACTAAAGAAATAGTAAACCATTCACTTTTTTCCTTATAGCTTATACTATACGTTATTAAAAAACGTCATGATATTTACATAATTGTAATCTTTTAACCACATAAATTATTGTTGGTACACTGGATACACACCATTTTTTTTTGGTCCTCTCCAGATGACAGCATCATCAGGGCTGCTAAGCAAGAACCCCACTGACATGACACCTAAGTTTTCTTCAACATACTGAAAGAGAAGTAGAGAAACAGAGCAGTGAAGAAAGAGTAGAGAAATCAACTCTGAAGCCCTATATTATAGAAAAACCAGCTGGGGGAGAAGACATTAATAAAATAAGGGCAGAGAACCTTATCTTCTATCACAGGGCATTAAAAACTACACTCAAACTGAAAAAACGCAGCTGTTACAGCAGTTTGTGGAACCACTGGGGACAACAAAAGGATAAAAACAGCTTTCCCTCTCAGCCCAAGCTGCCTTTTTAACAGCACACTACAAGTGATCTCTTGCAAAACTCTCCCTGCATTTTGTAAAGATTAATGAGGTTTTCCTTGGGTGCAAGGTACTTCTTGGCTGTCACAGAAAAGGTGACATACTACACAGTTGATTGATACCCAAAGTAACAAAACTGAGGAACTTATATTTATATTTATTGCCTGCAGTAGGGAAATCAGTAAACAAGAGATACAGCATTACTATTATTAACAAAACAAATTTAACACTCTGAATCTACAGAGTGTATATCCAGATTCTACAGAACCTGTAAATATATTCTATAGCATTCTCTGTATGTTCTGTAGAATCTGGATATAGGCTACATAGAATCTATAAAATCTGGAAACAGAGAATCTATAGATTCCATATCTTGTATCTATAGAATCTGAATATTTAAGCCATTAGAAAAAGAACTAACAGAAGTGCCTCCTGTTTCTCCCTCACTCATTTTTTAACACAGAACACAGTGTCCAACCCAAACAAACCCAATAAACTTTCTGAAACAGCTGCACCAACTCACCACTGGAGACCATCCAGATCCACTCTGATGAACCTGAAAATTGAAGTGATACATAAAGTTATAAGAGAAATAAATACAGATGTTACACAAAACACGAACATAAGTCTGCAGGGACAATCCTGCTTTATTGGGGTGGTTGAGGTAAAAACTGCAGGAGCACCAGATCTCCATCAGTAAGTGAACAATAACTGTTCAACCCTTATGCAAGTTTACCCATGACTTTGCTTATTTATATAAAATACTTGAGGGCTGATAAAGCCCATCATGATAATATTACTCAAGTTTCAAGTTATCACGAGTATGTGGACACTATGCAATGAAAGCTGTTATGCAGAACTGCTCATCCTGAAGGCAAATGGCTCTTTTACAAAATAAATTATGCTGAACTCCTCCATCTCACCTTACTTCTCTACCCACTGCCACTTCCCAATAAACAATCCTTTACAAGCTTTCAGCCTACAGAGCCCAAAGACGTTACTGAAAAAATGAGCAGAAATCCTTTAGGCAACACGTTCGAGCATTCACTCACCTGTTCTCCTTCCAGACCCATCATTTTAGGGATCGATGGCCCGCAGATATCGATGTCCAGCAGAGCAACCTGGAAAACAAACCGGCCAACGCGCCCCACTGGAAACAAGGCGGCACAGGGCCGTCCCCCAGGGCGAACTCACGCAGTGAGAACACCCTAGCGCGGTTCATACACGAAGGCCAAGCCCTAACCAGCGGGGGCACACGGCCGGCGCCCTCCGGTCCCCTCCCGCCAGCCCCGGGCCCCACCTGCTTGTGCTCGTCGGCCGCCAGCCCGTGCGCCAGGGCGGCGCTGAAGGTGCTCTTGCCCACGCCGCCCTTGCCGGACAGCACCAGCACCGTGTGCCGCACCGCCCGCAGCCGCGCCCGCAGCTCCGCCGCCTCGGCTGGGGGCGACATCGGGCCGTCAGAGCGGCCCCCGCACGGCCCGGAGCTCCGTCAGGGCCCTCGGACCGCCCGGAGCCCCCTCACGGCCCCCCAAGAGCGCGGACCGCCCGAACTCCCTCACGGCCCCGACACTCACCCGGGTCCGGCCCGGCTGCGCCGGCCGCGCACAGCCCCTGGTTGGGGCATCCCTGGCAGGCGGCCGCGCTGCCCGCCTGGGCGCTGCCGGTCCCCGGGCACTCTGCAAGGCACAGCGAGGGCTGTGGCGCGGGTGCGGCGGGCGGAGAGCCCGTCCCGGCCCAGCCGCTCTCCCGCGGGCCGCTCACCCTCAGGCCGCGCCGCGCCCGCCGCCTCCGCCATGACAGCGCGTCACCTCCGCCCGCGGGGGCGGGGCCGGCGGGGCCGGCGGGGGCGGGGCCGGCGGCCGCCGGGACCGCTCCGCCAGGGGGCGCTGCGAGGCCGCGGTGGCACCTCAGGGGGACCCGGTGAGACCTCGGGAATGGATCTGGTGACACCTCTGCGGGGACCCGGTGACACCCCCGGAGGCTCTGCTGACACCCCCGGAGGGATCCACTGACACCGCCGGGGGGCTTCGGTGACACCTCCGAGGGCTCCGGTGACACTCCCGGGGGCTCTGCTCCGAGGGGGCGCCGGTGACACCGCCGGAGGGATCCACTGACACCCTCTTCAGCCTCGGTGACATCCCCGGAGGGCTTCACTGACACCCCCGGGGGCTCTGCTCCGGGGGGCTCCGGTGACACCCCCGAGCAGCCCCGCAGCGGCGTCACCGCCCCGGGGTCCGGCTCCTGTCGCCGGTACCGCAGCTACGGCAGGTCCAGCTCTGCCAGCAGCCACCGTGGCATTTCTCCTCTGGGACTGCGTTAGGCAGAATAACTGGACCATTAATTGCACGGAGCCATCCCGGTGCCGCAGCCCGGCTGTTCCCGGGGTGCCGGGGCTGAGCCACGGTAGTTCTGTGCCCGCACCACGCTCGGCCGCTGGAAGCAGCCGTGCTCCAGCCCCGAGCCAGCTCACAGCACTGAACAGCTGCCAAGGACAGCGTGACACAGGAATGCACTTCACTGCTGTGTTTCACAAGTTTCATACCCAGGAAATTATATATCATTCCAGTAAAATTGCGCTGTTGCGGTATTTCGTGTCAATTCTGAGTATATTAATTCTGTATCTTGCTGATAGACAATTTCCAATAATTTAATGGGTACATTCATTTGGAAGATTATTCTGCCTTAACTTGGCCAGTCAACTTCTGAGCGATCAGATAGTCACTGTGCTTGGTGAGTAAAAAATAGTGAAATCAATTAATAATAAATTAATTTTCCAAACCAAGGAAGTATGCACCAGCTTGTGATACAGGCTGGCCCCTATTCCTGGCCACCTTATCCCAGTTACTGCTCCCTGCCTGTCTCTCCCCTGGCTGCCTTAGCACAGCCTTGTCCTGTCTTCCACTTGTAACATCACAGCTTAAGAACTGAAGTAGTTGCCAGTGTTGGTGATTAATCTTGGTGCTGCCTGGGCTGGCAGTGCACCTACCAGAGAGCTGTGTGTGTAACCTGACTCACCCAGACAGACCTGTTGGGGATACCCCACCAACATCCACCAAAAGGCAATTCCTGCCTCAAAATGCTTCCAGTCTAGTCCAGCACTAATCCCAAGTCCCATATTTTTTTCCCAAGAGGAAAAAAATGTTCTTACAAGATCGTTGACAACCTTTTCACCTTTCCTTCATCTTCCCATCACTGTTAAAAGTTCTCATGTCACGATGTTCAGAGTCCCAACCATAGAAGATGCAGCAACAGCATGGGAACAGTTGGCACAGGAGTAAAGCTTTGGTGTCCAGAATAATGCATTAAACAATGTGACCACTTTGCATTGGAAAAACGCACACAAAAACTGAATGACGGTCCACCTAGAAAACAAAAAAAACACCAAATCAAAACAAAAAACAAACCTAGAAAAAAATTCTGAAAATACATTTCATTAAGGTAATTGAGGAGCTTGGTCTGTTTTTTGGTCATTAATAAATAGGCTATTACCCATTTCCCATTTCAAGCGTATTTACCCCAGGGAAATAATCATCACCCCTGGATACTTGTACAGCTCCTGAACTTCCTGCTCTGTAATTTCCTTCTATGGGAAACTAATGAAAATGTTACGTGGAAGTGGAGCCAAATGTTTAAGCAAATTCAAATGTCTGTGGTGGGAGGAAAACTGGCCAGGAAGACATATCAGAAATTTATACTGTACCTTGCCCATGAAAAATTTGGCTTTTTGTAAGACCACAGCCCAGTATAGCACTTTAGGTCTGTGCTTCCTGTCAAACATATGGATTAGATTCACTGATGCCTGCAGGACTTTCCACATTTTAAACTGAGGTACGTGTCAAATATCTTTCTTTTGGGGCCAACTGTTTATTTTCTGTTCCCAAAGTTATAGAGAACGTTCCCCACAAAAAGCACCAAAAAGGGGAAAGTGAATCTCTTCCTCAGCACCCCTCTTGCTCTGAGCCAGCGGGGGCTCCTTGTGCAGGGCTCTCTGGGTGAACACCAGGCCTTGGAGTGCTCAAGCCTGGCTGAGCTCAGCCCAGGGCTCTGCCAGCACTCTTGCAATCTCATGCTCAGCAATAACTTTACCCTCCTTGGCAGCTGCTGAGAATTAGTTCCATCAGCTATTGCAAGGGGAGGGTTTTTTGTGTGTGTGAGCATTTGCGGTATCAATCTTACCCTGTTTACACACCCTTGTGTGTGGATCCACTGCCCATCCCTCACTGCCCTATAGTTTATTTATGTAGGTTTTAAACATCATGAGAAGATAAATTTAACCGGCAGTGACCATTTCTTTAAAATTATCTCTCCTTTTTTTCGCTGGGTAATGTCCCGCAGCTTTCTGAGACAAGATACGCTGTAACTCAATGCATGTATATATATACCAACAGAGATGTACAGCATGCCCTGGAAAAGGATCTTTCTGACAAAAACTCAGCCTATTTTATTGATGAGAAGTGCTTTAACCTGAGGAACACATTGGACAGCATCAACTTTTACCATGGAGTTGAAAAAGCAGCAGAGACGTGAATATGAGTGGCTGCTGTAGCCTTCCCTGTGCATACTCTCTGCTGTAAGTAGGAGCCTGATTCAGCCCAGGCCTTATCTTTGAGAAGTGATACAGAAAGAAGTGGCTTCTCTCTCCTCAGGGCCCTGTTTTTCCCCAGTGTGAGACCCTCCATCATCATCCTGGGTCCTGGTTACAGCTCTGTTGCAGTTGGTTCCTCGCCCTCAAACTCCACTGTGCAGGGTCCCCCCCTTGTTTTGATTTACACTGTTCTGTGGCTTTCAGGTTTCAAACCCACATCAAACCCAATAAAAATTCAGCTGAGGTGTGCAGGTAAGTGCAATGCAGCAAACAGCACGTAAGTGTTCACCAAGGACTAAACATACTGTCTGTGAAAGAGCTTGGGTTGTTGTGAAATTAGTCCATTTGGCACAGCTTTAGCGCTACAGACTGAAAGAAAATTACTGAACTAAAATGTCCCAATTGGAGGCAGTTTTCAAACTGTTTATTAGCAGTGTCCTCATCAAGCCCTGCATCCAATCCAAATGCAATAGCAGCAGAAGAGCATCTTGCAATAGAGGGCAGTGTTTTTGTGCTAATGACTTGTCAGTTCCCTTATCATTAACATAGCAGTACTTGAATGGTGAATATACTTCACAATCTCAAATGATAACGACTCTGTCTTGTTGGAAGGAGAAAAAAAAAATCAGTATTATTTGTTTACTTATGCTCTGCTTTTCATTAAAAGATCACCTCATTCACTATTGAAACGAGGGCATATCCGAAGGAAACTTGGCAGGCATTCTGCTGAGTCCAGTAACACTACCTACTTTTAGGATTAGCAATGAATAAAATTATTCTTGTCAGCTCTAGTAAAAAGCAGATTCATGTGGATAAGTTTTGCAGCCCTTTTCCTTTCTCACCATCCATTATCCAAAGAAACTACATTTTTCATTAACGTTTTTCTGAAACCACTTGGCAGTCTGAGACATACCTGCAGCACTCAGGAGCAGAGCAGGTGTTTTCTGCCTCAATAGACCCAGATGGACAAATTACAACCTGAAAAGGCAATGTTAAAGAACAGATTAAGTACTAAGTATTTCAGATAGTCAAGATGGAAACCTACTTAGAAATTTAATTTTCTGATGAGAAGATGAATATAATCTGTCAGATCGTAGAGCAGGAAAAAAAATCCCAAAGCAAATATCCTGCAGAAAATACACCAAGATTGTCTGGATCAGTAGCTGTAAGCAGAGCCAGCTCAGGTTCTGTAGACTGACTTATGTACTTTACTATCAGGTTGGTCACCTGAAATTTTTCAGGGCAGCTGCCTAAATAAGTGTGCAGCACTAAGGAATTCCAAATCAATTGGTACTTCAGTTTGGAGACAGAGGAATACCCTATGAAAAACTGAAGAAAGGCTACTGAGAAAACAAGCACTGACAAAACCAAAATTAACCTTTTCTTTTTGCATCCCTTAATATTTATTCCCAGGGTTCAATTAAAATTTAGAGTAAATGTGAAAATCAAAATATAGTGGTATATCCCTGCAGAGTTTAGCATTCAGGAAAAATTCTTAGAAAAAATGTTTTGTGTTAGGAAAGAAGTTTAAATGCAGACAGAAGTTTGTCTCAGCCTTTCAATTTGGTAAGTAAAATATCTGTACTTTTCATAGAATACACTAAACACTTGGGTGAAGAGTGATCTGGCAGGCCAAGCAAGGCATTAAAGGAAGTGGTGAATTTAACTCCAAAGACAGTAGCTTACACTGCAGCAGCAGTTTTGAAGCCAGAGGCTCAGGCTGCAATTTATGTTAAATTCCTTACAAGTGTTTCAGTTCCTGCAACAAGTTCCTGGGCTAAATTCAGTGGAGACAATATCAGATGCTCTCAACATGCAGGGGCCAACTCTGTCCTGCCCTGAAAGGATGCAGAGGTTGGACTGGAGTGCACATCTGAGGAGATGTGGAATCATTTATTCAGCGTTAACTTAGCCTTTAATAATCATGTTGCTGAAGTATCTGATGCATAGAACAAACTCCAAGCACAACTGGCCAAGGTAAGATTCACTAAGAGTTGGCAGCTGCATATTATTGTACCCAAAAGGCATAGAAATGTTCTCTGGAGTTTACATCCTCCCTGAATAAGCACCTCCTCAAAGGACAGACCTGTATTACCTTTCCTGGAGCTGCACTTGACTCACACACGGCCTGAGAAGAGTTTGCTCACAGACAGATGACAAGGTTTCACAGGCAACCTTAATCACACACTGGTCATGTTCATTTGCAACTTACATGTTTAAAGTGGGGAAAGATATCTTAGATAGCATGTTTTTGATTTTACATTAATTGGTGATACTCCATGTCCATTTTCTGATACAGAAATAGTACATTAAATTTTATTTTTAAACGGTGAATGAACTTTGGAAAGTGGGCAAATAAAAAGGCCCACAAACAGCACATTTATCTGCTTTAGAGGAAGAAGATGACTAAGTTTTTGCACTTTTATTTTGAAGCAGCCAGGGGAGAGCCCTAAATTAACTAAAGTGTAAAAGTATTTACATACAGAATGTCCTTAATCTGTCCTTGACACCTAATTTCCAAGTTTTCCTTCCCTTTTCATAAATACATTTCCATATCTTTAGCCTGAATGTTGGCCTGGTTCTGGTCAGAAACAATCTCATGTTTCCAAGGGTCACAGTAAACTTTTCAAACATTTGTTCTGCCTTTGTCTTCCTATTATACAAGACAGAAATGGCTCAGAAGAAGATAGACCTATATCAGTCTCTGTCTGTACTGCCTTTTCAGCAACTTTTCACTAAGTCACAAGTGTAAGTGTATTAGCTGAATTTTGAAACATATATTCTGAAGTTGACCTGAAGGTTAACTTTATATTGACAGATAAAATCTTGTTAAGCAGCAAGACTCACTGTGTTACTGTCATATGGCTTCAGTCAAAGTTCTACTGCAAGGTCTTTAAGTTCTTCCAGTAAGATTCTTTCTCTTATAGAGCAGGCTCACATTTACTCATTTTTTTCAATGCACATTTGGAAACAATAGAGTTTTCCTGCCATTCTACTTGACATAAGTAGTTTAAGATGTTTTCAGTTTATTTTTAGGGTCTCCTAGGAAAGTGCAAACTAACCAGCTAAATAAGTGTAAGCTCGCAGCACAGCACTTAAACACATGTTTATTTGGTTTTTTTTTCCTCCCCTGCCTACAAAGCATGAAAGATGTAGTTTTTTGTGTATTTTAAGTTGTATATGGTCTGGCCAACTACAGCACTTTATCCCTAAATTGGCCATCCATCTTAGTTTCTCATGGATTTACAGGTAAGAACATTTGCTTCACATTTTCCATTGGTATTTTCTACTGCTTCTAAGTGCCCTTTTTATAAAATAACTTATGGCATAAGGTAGCACATATGGCATCACAAAGTGCATTGTGAGATACTGACACATGAGCAGGGGTTTTGTTATGGAGTCCAGCTGACACTGGGACATAACTGCTGACAACTGGATTATAATGGAAAAAACAAGTTATGTCCCTATACTGTCACAGAATTAAATAGCAATAATAAGCCACCTGGAGAAACTCGAGTATTTGTACAAGGAATAATTAATTTGTGTGGTAGACATGGATAAAAAAATCAAAGAAGATTGAATTCTATGAACCAATGCTGCTGTTTCTGCTGAGTTACCAGTTAGCACACACATAGCAGAGATACTTTACTCATCACAAACTCCATAGTAATGTAGTTACATCAGGATAACAAAATGCTGGAGAGGAAGCAAATAGCATGTGCTGGTGAGGAGGAATTCAGGCTGGTCAGCGTTGGCAAAGGAAAGGAAAATACAAGAGGTTCACTGAGCAAAAACATTGCTGGTTAAGCTCTGGGTGAAGTTATATGGTAGAAGTGCTGTTAATTCTCATTCCTGACCTCAGAGGAACCAGAGGAAGGAGAAGGCAAGGGAGGGCAGAAGTGAGTATGGATCAGTGTCCATCTAACAGGTATCTATCAGTAAGCCTTTCTTCTTTCTCCAGTCTATAATAATTAGAGAAAAAAAACATTGCTAGGTTATGCTTCAATACAACAGCCATTGGCTTCATTCTGAAATCCTACCACAGCTCTGTTCTTCCACTGGGGTGTGATTATAGTCAATGCAGCTACTCCAGCTCCTGTTCCCTTCTCATCTAATAGCAATGAGACAATGGGTGCCACAATTTTGAGGTTTGTGTTTAAAAAAATATCAATCTTTCGGTTTTGCACTGACTTCCTCAAGCAGTGAACGACACTCTCCGAGACATCCTTCTTTCTGACAAATTATTTTCCTAGCTAAGCAGGGTAGCTCTCATAAAATGAGAGAAAAATGTCAGGAAAATTAACATAGAAATGATTTGCTATCTTGAAAGCAGGAAAAGCTGTTATTTTAATGAAGTCTGGAGCACATTTTGAAATGAAAAATACTTTTCTAATTTGTGAAACAGCAAAATCTTTTCCAGATCAAAACCAACCCCAAAACAACATACAGGGAACCTCCTGCAACCATTTGTTTCTAAAAATCAGCACTCTTAAAGGGGAAAGAGTCAAAAACTACATGAAAGAGTAAATAGTGGGAATATGGTGATGATCTAAAAATGACCTTATGTTGAAATGGCGTGTTTTCTTCTGTTTATATCTCTGGCACACAGAAGTCTATGATTAATTTATCTTACTTGATTCTGGGCTTAATCTTGGTCATAATAATGTGAGTTCATCCAGAAGTAGGATAGTGGAACACTGGAACTATGAGGTGCTGGAGGCAGAAGCCCAGAAACCCCAATGAGGTATTTGGCAAGGGTTAGATCACAAGCCAAAAAAGGTATTACAGCTCCACTGTATTTCATCACCACTGGACTCACAGAGCTTGTGGTTATTTGGGGATGCAAATATTCTGAGGAGTCTAAATCCCAACATATGTCTCTGGTCAGGCTCAGAGCTGCTTTAGGGCCACATCTTTAGTCTGGTGAGCAGAAATACAGTGTACACAGCTCAGTGTAGAAGAGGGTGCCTCAAGAAACGGTGTATGCCAAAAGATGTTACTGTAAATATATTTTACATTTGGTGTAAAAGGATAAAAATCTTTAGGAAAAGAAGGAAAACCTTCAATTGTGGTGCCTGCTCCCTTTAATACATTTGTGTCTCTTTTCCATGAAGTGAATATTAACATAAATAGTTACCTTGGCTTCAGTCTCCTGAAAATAGCCAATAGGGCAGGGTGTTTATGTACATTAGCTCTGGGAATCAGTCAGACCAGACAGCAAGGGACATGTTTACATAGTCCAGTATTTACACCCTATCTAAACAGAAGATCATCCCTGACAGCTCCAACACCTGCTCAGAAGTGTTCCCGTGCCCAGGGGCAGAGTGCCCAGCACCACCCTCCCTGCAAGCCTTGCTGTTCCCCTGGGAGCACAGGGATCAGAAGGATGCTAGAAAAACAGGTACATGTTTAGTAAAGCCATGAAAAAGCAACCACCCACTCCAATAAACAAGTCACCATGGTTCTGAGTATTTCCACTCAGCTCACTGGGAATGTGTGCTTTTAGAAACAGCTCCATTTTGTTGGGGAATTTTTACCCCTGGGGTGTGAAAAGGCAATATATTACATCAATATAGGAGGGAAAATGACTCTCACTTTCCTTTCTGCCTGGTGTATTTTTACTCTTTACCTGAAGAACCTACAGTCTTTTGTTTTAGTAAGTTACTACCTCAGAGTCTACATCCTTCTCACATTATTTTTGTTGAATTGATTTATAAATTTAAGGTAAAAAACCTTATTGTCTTAGCAACTATTGAGTATGCTTATATGGTGGCTAGAAGAATTGCATACATTTTATATTTACACAACTTTCTTCTAATTCAAGGGAGAGCCAACTTAATTTTACAACTAACATTCAACAAAGAAGGAAAGTCAGGAAAACCTCAGTGGCAATAATAGCAGAAACTGCCTCCCAGCCTCAAACTTCTTATCTAAGGTCTGAAAGGAGCCCTCCTACGGCTCTTGCATAGGACATAACCTGTTCCTCCGAATGGGAATAAAGAAATACCAAAATTCCATGGGAGGTGCCCACGCAAGGAGCACGGAGAGGAGCAGCAGCGTCGGGAGCTGTGGGAGGACGTGGTATAGGAGAGGGAATACTCTCCCTCTGGCACTTGCCCCACAAATACTTTCATCTCAGACCTCAATCTATCCTCCTATAACTTTTAAAATATATTTTGTTGATTTTGTTTTTTCCTCTTCCTCTTTTGATGCCTTAAAATCTCAGTTATTTACAGTTTTTCATGCCCGTTCATAGTGCCTGTGAGTACAGATAATCTCACAATCTAATATTAGAACTTGTTTGAGAGTAACATTTTCGGGTGATTAGTGAAGGGTGACTCAGAAGTGGTTGGGAAGGTGTGTGCTGCTTGGTGTAGGCAGCTAAAAATTTTCTGGAAAAACCTGTTTAAAGAAGGAAATAGTTATTGAGGAATAGACTTTTCCCTCCAAACCAAGAGAAATTACAGATATGAAGTTAAGGCAGTCACTTGAAGACAAAACCAGATTTATCACTCTCCTAAAATGTTTGCCTAATCTCATAGGGTCAAAAAGACTTGCACAGAGTCCATTAGAGTATGAACTATGGACAAGTAGAGAAACAAGAATGTGTCTATGACATGACAGTAAAAATTGTCAGGTCCAAATTAATTTCAAATTGAAGATCTGGGTTATGCTTGTAACCCAAATATTGCAAGATAGCATAGTTTTACTTTGAAATAACATGGCATATATAAAAAAATTAATTGTGAAATCAGTCGTGAGGACACTATTCAGTTCAGTATAACTTGAACAAATGTTAACTTTTACTGTATAATTTAGGTGAAATGTAGAAACATGGATGAAAAGAGTTTAGGAAAACTGACTGAGAGGCAAAATATTAAAGAAGTTTGCAAAATGAGGAGGCACAAGTATGTTCCTCCCACCACATTACTGCTGTTTTTGCTGCTGCTTTTTGCATCCAGATAGCAACCACTGAGTTAGCTTAACCTCAGAAACAACAAAGAAACAAGGTCAGGCTTCAGCATTTTAAAAATGCTTATGTTGTACCTAAGACTACCCTGAGTACATGATGAAACCTGTGGGACTGCTCTCGGTCTAGCTAATCCAGCCTACAGAAACCATGGCCTTGGTAAAACGAGCAGCAGGAGCAGTTCTGTCCATGCTCACAGGAATGTTGTGCATAAAACTTTACTCATGTCCTGGAAAGGGAAAGTTTCCGGCTGTGCAGCTGCCGGTGCCCCACCAGGCTCTCCTAGGAACACGCTGCTCAGCATTGGTTGTTTTTGCTTCCTGCCTTTGGAGGTCATCCAGGAATGACGTGGGCTGGAGCAGCTCAGTCTGGTGATCCTCCCCACCAATCTCTTCATGTACAGCACATTCTCTAAACCATCCCATCCAATGTGTGGCCAGAGTGAGTAATCAAAAACTGTTTGCACAAAGCTCCTGTGATGCATTGGAGGTGGTTCCCCCGAGGCCATTTTTCTTTGTATGGCTTAAATGCCAGTGCTTTTTTTTTTGAAAAATAAAAATTTGAGAACACACAAGGAACCTAAACCACATCCACTTACATGCAGCCCAGCAAGGCTTAAAGATGGATGTATCATTGCACATTTGAATTTTGAGTTCACAGGCAGGCTTAAACAATATTTTTTTTAGTGAATGAATGAATGAGGGGTTTGCTCAGTAGCACTAATCAGCTGCCCTCGTTGTGTTTGATATGCTTGCAGACATTTTCTTGCAGAAAACATTAATTTCCTCCTCTTCTCGAATCATATTAGAACAATTAGAAGTAGTTCAGTGTAAGACAGCCTGCAACCTAATCCAATTCACCAAATAAATTAAAATAATAGGATTATACCATCCCAGTACCAGCACAGTGACTGCATTACACACTTACTGTAACACTTGCACCTGTGTGAGCTGTGGCATTGCTCTGGGAGCTGGTTTCACTGTCATGCTTCACTGCCAACCAAGTGCTCTAGACTGCTTCAATTGTATTGTTTTTTGATAGATTTGCTCCACAAAGTTGAAGCACCATTTCCAACTGGTGCTCAAGAAAGTGTTACTACCAATAAAGACCAAAGTCTGAACCACGAAGGTCCTACCCAGGATCTGGACCATTTCTAAGGAGACGTATTTGATTTTGAATTTTTATAAGGCAAAAGGAAGTAAGAATTGAATGAAAGTTTAAATGAAAATGATAGTTTATTGGAATTTTACCTGTGCAAAATGTTCACAGATGAAGCAGCAGGTTTTTTTACTTAGAATAAAAATTAGTCAGTGAAGCAAAATGGAAAGAGATCCCTGTAGAGCTATAAACACTGCCTCTATGAAAATGGCTTTTTCACAAAAGCATGGTTGTAATTGCCCCATTGCTATAATTCACTGCTTCTCTTCTGGTTGTCATAAACTTATATTCCAATTTGCCTATAAATGTCATAATTTTATAATAGGAAAGAGATGGTGCATTTCTTAGTGGAAGTTGTTCACCTGTTTTCCAGGAACAACTTCATTAAATGCTTTCATGTGATGTATGAGTGCAAGGCCTCCTCCTTCTGGCTCTCCTGAGAGATTTATGTCCTTTTAGAGAAATGGCAAGATCAAGCCAAGGTTACACAAATCAATCTGATTGATGTGAGATTATAGTAAACTCCTCCCCTAAATTGACCAAAATGACATTCCAGAATGGAAGCAGTTCCAACAGAAGTGTTTAAAAGCAGGGGTGAGTTCTGATCTTATATGTAAGTGAGGCTTACACAAACATTCTGCTCTGTTCAGATGCTTCAGGAAATCTTCCAGACAGAAGCTACAATCATGTTATTGGAGAGATCCTAAAGACAAAGGAGAACCCACTGGAAGTGACTCAGACCTGCCTGCAGGGAAGAATGAAACGACCCAATAATGGACTTTGCTGTGATGCATCTCAGTTTCAGTAAGGAAAGGCCAGACTACTCCATCTCTTCCTTCATCAGCAACTCCAGAACAGGGAATTCAATGACAGTGTGAATCAGTCTGATGAGATTAGTGTTGCATTCACCACACTGGGATTCAAATTCCGTGAGAAAAAAAAAGTAAAATCCAAGCAGCTGCATTGAAATAATGGGCCAAAACATCAACATGAGCAGTTGCCTTTAGAACTTCAATGTGTGTAGTTGTCTTTAGAATCCCTCTGCCAGGACAGTTCAGAGTTCAATTGCTTGTTGGTTGTTGATTTCTTTGGGGATTCAGTCAGGATTTAGGAACTGATTTTAATTCCATTCTGTAGGAAACAAGATTTCACTTTGGGAAATACCTATTTTTAGGAACATCTGAGACAAAAGTCTGTCTTATGACGCAAAAAACCCCTATCTGATCATCAGGCTCCTTAAAAAGTTAATTGCAAACAGGAATGAGGCAGCATGTCTTACTGTCTCAACTAATTTGCAACTATATGGTGACTCCAGTACCGTCTTGGTACAGATTAGCTCATTTGGCATATAATTTTGGCTAAAGTGGGGGGGCTTTGTTGGCATCAGCTTGGTGATCCCTGTGCTGTGATCCCTTGTGTCTTCCTGGATAGATGGGAAGATGTCTGAGATGTGAGTCAGCCTTCCCTAATGACTGAAGGGTCTTCTGAATTTTAATTGCATTTATCTCCCTCCAATCCAGTCGGAACATGTCAGTGTTCCAAAAGAACACTGTCAAGTACATCTTCTTTAAAACACTGTTGTCAAATTGTTCTGTGGGTGTTTACCCAAGAAATACTGCACCATGGTTCTTCTCACAGCAGGAGTGAATTTCACAGTCTAGTAAAAGAACTTTGCATATTTTAATGAAAAGTAGAAAACAATTCTCTTTTTATTTTTGTCTCGAGCAAAACCCTACAATACACAACAGCTTCACATACAATGAGATTAATGAAGTACATAATGCTTCAGCTGAGTATATTATTTTTACTAAACTGTTTTATCAGCTCAAAATGCTTCTATTCAAACAAGGAAGTGGCAATAAATCATAGCTTATTGTACTGGCATCTTTTCACTTTTTCTAACTCCTTAAACCATAAATGTACAATGTAACGTATCTCTTTTCTTAGCCTCATACCTCCTTAATAGGATCCTGACGTGTCCTTTGTCACTTAGCAGCTACATTTATTATGGGAGCAGATAATTTGTCACTTCTGTTACCACCACACCATCAATTAGGCAGGCATGTAAGACAGTATAATAATTTTATTAAAAACCCCCAACAAATTGAACAAAGCAAGACAGCCTTAAATATTGATACACAACTCCAGTTTCAGACTCACTCTGAGTTTTGTGCTCTACATCCTTCCTGAAGATCTCTTCCACAAAACTGCAGCATTAGGATTGATATCAGTCCTGTCAGCAGGATTGCAGGCATCCAAGGTACAAAACATATTTCATTTAGCATCAAAAATGCAGACTGTCACATTATCACTTTTTCTTCCCACAACTGCCAGTCATGCTGTTGATGTTCCAAAGGGTCCTGTCTAAAAACAGTTTGGAAGCTTCATTTGAAGTCTCTAGAACACCAGAATGTCTTTGAATTTTTCTTCAATTAGAGTGAAAGGATATTAACATGACATACTTAAAGCCCAGAAGTACACAGGGGTTCTGAATCAAGCTAACTCCTGGTAGCTCTGAAGTGAGAGCTTCATAAACTGTCACATAGATATTCAGAAGTATTTTAGGCTTAACATACATGCAAGTTTTCCGTCAGTCTAATATGATTTCCACTATTTTAACCCAAATGTTTATACAAGTACAGTATTTACTAGATGTAGTTATCTTGACAGATAATTAACATATCCTGTTCTCCTTCCTTCAATGCATATAAATTTTACTCTACCACAGCTCCCTACTCCAGACCAAGTTATGTTGGATGCTGTAGCTGATTAAAATTATTGAATGGTTTGTTCATCAGAATTGCAATTAGAAATAGAAATTCTGACAGGGCTTTTGAAATTTGGACACTTTTTTCCCACCACAGTTTTGCTTGAGCTCACATCTCAAATAAAATGTATTTTCTTACAGAAAAAATCTTATCTGAGAAAGTAAAACCATTTTCTACTTCACTTTTAAAAGATTTTTTGCTTTCAAATAATTTAAGTGTATTTCTCTCATCTGGTTTAAAGGAAGAAGAATTCAGCCCAATAGCTCAGCTGCAACAGAGAAAGAAAACATCAAATGAACCACTTCTTTGTAACATGTAAATGTTATCTGAGTTGCTGTTTATTTAAAAGGAAGTGCTGATGTTGGCATTTGTTCCCTGTGTGCGCTGCCAACTTTGTAGTTGGAGGGATTAGACAGAAAACAAATTAATAAAGTCTAGTTTTTCTGCGCTTACAAAATGGGGACTATCCTAAGATGAGTTAAAGTAGTTTCTGGAAAAATCAATCTTTCTTGTAGTCCATAGTGCATGCAGCAGTTTACCAGCTCAGTGACTACACAAGATTTGCCTCATGTCCATTGATAAGCCACGGGAAGCAGCGTGGCCAATATCAGCTCACAGAACATCTTGATTTCAGAGCCCCACATTCAGTGGTTGTTCTGGTAAAGTGGTTCTGATTAATGTGCTTCTGCGCCAAATTTGGACCATTTAGCAGGTCCTGCCTCACAAGTCTAAGCTATCATGAACTACTCCAACACTCTCCAGTAACATCCATTCCAAATGGATTCTACAGGACCAAATTCAAGTGTTCAACACAGCCATGATGCTCCCAGAGAGGCTGCACAAACGAGAAGCTGCAAGTGAATACAACAATTAGATATATCAGAGGGGCTTAATCCACTGTTGAAGGTCAACACAAGCAAGAAAGCATCACTTCTTACAGGTGCTGTGCAAGTTAGTTTGGCAAATGGGTTTCATACTGATTCAGTCCAAGACAGCTGTACAAATCCTGCCTGAAAGTGTGACCTGTCCACTTTAAAAACAGGAATGGGGTGAGGGACAGCTGAAGTTACGTGAGCAACCTGTCCCCTTCTCTTTTTAAGGGCCACTGAAGTTTACACTACAGATAACATCATACAGGCCTTCAAGTGATGCCTGCCAGAAGCACATGACACTGCAGATATTGATCCTCCACAAATCAATGCCAGAAGACAACATTTCTGTGAAGGCAAACTCCCTCTTCATTGACAAGAAGTGTACAGGAACATGATGTTCTTAAAATGCTCTGAAATTGTCCTTCAGTCTGTAACCAAGACTGCTCAGGTTTCTAGTTCTCAGTGGGGCACTACCTTGTGGGATGGACAGAGAAGGATGGAATGGGCTTTAGATCTGACTTTTCTGGATGACAGTTGAAACCTATTAACAGTGCAGTAATCATGGTAAAGGATTAGAGGAAGAACTAATGGTAAGGCAGCACAGATGTTTTGGACAAAACGGAATAATAAAGTTCTACTGTTATTTGTATTTCTTCCTGGATTTGCTCACACTAATCTACAGAGTAAGCAGCAAACTACAGTTCCAATAACTGAGCTGTTCCCTGCCACCTCAGAGTCCTCTCTACAGGGCAGCTCTAGGAACACACAAAACGCATTTTACAGTGAACAGAAGCCAAATCCGAAACAATGCTAGGTCTGAAAGGCTCCTGAATAAACTGGCTCTGTTCCTTCCCCTTTGTCTTGTATGGGTGGTGGCCTAATGTAGCTACCAACACAAGTACCCTTGCAGAGCACACCAGCTGGGGCCAAGACATCCCCCACACAGCTTCTCTCCTTCAGGTAAAAAAGTAGTATCTCCTGGCTGTTGTGTCAAACCATTCACACACAGATAATGTCTCTAAAGATTTAAAGTAACGGGAAACCATTTTGGAACACAAGATTGGGAAGTGACATCCAGGCCTGCTGCTGATACCCATTAAATCCGTGTCACACTGACTGCTCTGCACCTGGATTTTTCTCAGGATGATGCCACAGTCGTGTGGTACATGCCTATGAAAAGGACAGGCTGCTCAATCCAGCAGGCTAATGCCAAATGGTGGCTTTCTGGCATGATTTTTTCTGAACCTAGGGAAAGTCCCAGAAATATCTGAGTTTTATATTGCACTATATGACTGCAGAGCAGTTCAAGGGGTCCTGGTGGTGTTGCTGGAGACAGGAGCTCTGTTCCTGCAGACTTCACAGTAATCTGGTTTCAATTAATATCATACCTCGCTGTTTCTTACTCAGAAACACATCACAACAACCTTCTATCACAGAACCTCCCCCCGGAAATGACTTTAGGTGGGAGGAGTGAGGAATCTCACTGTTTTGTTTCCCAGCAGGGAAGACTGTTACCACTGGTAACATTTTTCTCCCTCTCTATGCCTTTGTATGGAGACAAGGGAGATTTTATCACTTGCTTCTGTTACTACCAAACCCTGGAATAAAGCACTTTATTTGCATTTCATATACTATTTTTACAGTGTATGAAGAATAATATTTGTGTTGAGCTGTTAAATATTGACAATAGTCCCACCCTATTTATCAAATACTGACAGCTGACCAAGCAAAGGAGTAAAAGTTATTTGGAAATTTGGATCTTCTTGAAGCCTTTAAATATATTTCTAGAGGTTGGAGGCTTTCCCAGTTCACACAGCTACTCTAATAGCTAGACATACTTGCTCCCTTCCTTATGCCAAGAAGTCAATTAAGAAATATATAGCAGAAGGGAGGCACTTCTAAGGGAACTCATTTTTTTTACTGGTTCTTAACAGAAGAAAAATAAATAAAATAAAAAAATCTTTGTCTGAAAACAATTAACATAAGTGAAAAGCCAGCCTGAATCAAAGCCTCGAATTTGAAAATCTGGGGGCTTCAGGACGGAGATGGTAGGGCTGAACAATAATTCTGAACATTACAAATTCCAGCTCCTTCCTGACAGTGCCTTTGTTCAGTGGTTTTCTCTCCAAGACCTCGATTCTGCTTTTGGGTGGAGCACTCACTTGGTACATTGTCAGTGCAAACAACACTGAACTTGTCTGCACAGTGTGAACTCCATCTAGGAGTGACTGCCTGAACCCAGGGATCCATGGCAGTGCTGTTCTTTGAGAGCATCCTTTTCCATGAGTACAGCAATTCCCAGAGATTCATCTGCCATCAGCAAGAACAAATTTTTACTGAGTGCTGCAAAAATAACAACACTATACAAAAATCATCTTCTTCTCTAAATATAACTGACCAGAAGATATTAAGTGTATTATTCTAGTGGAAAAAAAACTCTCAGTGATAAAAGCGCTCTTGTCTTTTATTATGATGTAAACAAATTCACACTCAGCCTCCAGAATGCAGTTAATCCCAGTTGTGATGGGAATACGTCAGAAGAAACACATTTCTAACAGTCATAAAGATACTCACACAGATAAACCTGAGAATCTCTTACAAAAGCCCCCAAGAGAATATAACATTCTTTCAGGTTATTTTTTTCAATACATCTCTCTTCCTGGGAACTAGATCATTAATTGTTGTACTCATATGCAGCCACAGACATCAAGAAGCCACATCTACTCTATTTCCATGTATAAACCCAGAAATTTAATGTGCAGTTCCATAACACTTAAAAGATAAGATCTGTTTTATAGCAAATAGAGTAACGTAGAGAAGACCAAAACCTGTCCCTGCCTGTTTCAAACAATGAGATAATTTTAGCTCCAGACAAGCCATTTCCTAACATTATCTAAACTATAGCTCATAAAAGTTTATGGACTCAGATTCCAAATAGAGTAAGAAAACAATGGATCTCAGTATCTTCACTAACGATAATAGCAGTTGGGTGCCATAAGGTTACTGCTTACAGTGAAATTTCACAGTAGTTTATTTTACCCAAATCTATCACTGGTTTATTCCTTTTTAAAAAGAAATTGAAAATCACAGAATTTGTAGAGATGGTGTGTTTAGTCAATATATGTGATGGTGCTCATATTATATATACAGCCTTTCACCTGGGTAAGACCTGGCGCATGCTTTCAGCACAGGATATTAAGGTGTGAACAACAGGAGACAAGGAATATTAACTATGGAGACAAAAGAGTGCCGAGTTTGGGATTTTTCATTTAACTACCATTACAGTTTGGCAATACAGTTGCACAATTTCACTTTTTCATAATATTACTGTATTTTAATTTTATTAAGGGGTACAGCATGAGAGGTACCTTTCAACATCTACTTTACCCCCCCCCCCTTTCCTAGTGGTGCATTTTGGCATTTCCAGTTTTAACAGAAGTTCAGGAATGTCCAGTTCTGTATTTAATTACAGCACATGCAGGCCCAGTGATGTAATAAGAAATCCCAAATCAAATGAAGAACACATGCCAACAGTTGGGTAAGTAGCTACTGTCTTGGGTAAGTTTATGTGCTGACTTAGACCTCTGGAATATTCAGTCCGAAGAGATGGAGTCAGACCTTTAGGTCAAACCTTTGATAACCCTCACAGTAAAAGTGGTTTTTTCTCGAGAGTAAATAGAATTTCCTGTATTCTCACCAGATCCCCCTTTACCAAGCCTAGGTCTTCCTTGTTCCAAACTTTCCCACTGGTCTCAAGGACCAGGTGTTTCTGAGGCCATATCTTACCAGTAAAGGCTGAAGAAAGCACTGAGTATCCCAGCCTCTTCCACGTTGCTCTTGCTGAGTCCCCTGCCTAATTCCCCGAGTGGGTCCACATGTCTCTAGTCTTCCTTTTGTTGCCAATACATGTGTAGGTGCCCTTCTTGTAGCACTTCATGGCCCTTGCAAGATTTTGGCTTTCCTGACCATCCCCCTATGCTTGGACACTAACTCTGTACACCTCCTGGGTGACCTGACACTGCTTCCACCTCTTGTGGAAGCATCTTTTTCATGTCTGAGCTTTGTCAGCAACTCTTTGTTTATCTGTGCAGGCCTCCTGCTACTTTTTAGGTTTATTTCCTGCCCATTTTAATGGACCTTTCTCAAGCTCAGAGGAGGTAATCCTCAAAAAATCAGTAAGACCTCAGTGACCCCTCTTCGCTCCTGGACCATATCCCACGACATCCTTGAACAGGCCAAAACCTGCTCTCCTGAAGCCCAGGGCTGTGATCCAACTATTTGACTTTTTTTTTTTTCTTTCATAGCCACATCTTCAGAATTATGTCCCTTAAAAGAAGGAAATAAAAAAATCCGCAACCTGGATATCTCATTTCCCATCTCTGAAATTAAATATAAGGAGAAGTTAGCCCTCTCCTGATGATAGTGCTACAGAAAAAAACCCCAGCCATTATTTGTCTCTTCCTCAGATGCTAATTCTTTCCTTTCCCCTCTGAGAATGGGGTGGGTATCACTGAGTTAGAAGAACATAGAGAACCCCCCCGTTTTGTGCTCCCTTTTTCAGGCCAGTTTTCCTTTTTTACTGGTGGAGCAGTGTGACTGGAGCTTGTTCTTCAGCACATTTTTCCATGCTCTCCTTCAGAGTACTTGCTGTATCTTTTTGAGACAGATCCAGCAATTCATCATAACTGGCCCCCAAGCCTGTTTTGCTTCACTCATTGTTTTCAAACCTGAATCTCTGTCATTCATCATTGTTAGGAAGGCAAACTGTAGGTGGATACTAAGGTGGTGCACCCACCCTTCCCCTTAAGGAAAGCATCTTCTAAGACCTTTCTCATCCCATATGTCAGCTTGGAAGTTTTTAACCAGAAGGTATTTTCATTTCCTAGTATATAAAACTAAGCATTAGCTACTTCAAAAATTAATTATCTCTCAGAAGACCTGTTTCTGATACCATATTGAGAGTCCAACCATTTGAAATCCATGTCCTTGGGTCTTTTAAATGTGAATTTGAATCTATAGACAATATGATCTCTTATACAGTCCAAATCCATGCCACCACTTTTGTCTCAGAACATGATCAAAGCTTATTTTTGTACAGCAGAAACACACAAAAGCCCCAAGAGATATGTACTTTACATTCAACACAGACATAATGTCACAATAATTAATCAAAACACATTCTAATGACACATTGTCCCTCACAAAAATGGTCAGAGTGCCCCAGAGCAGTTAATGACTGCAGACAGTGCCAGCCCTGGGGTAGGATGGTCAATATTACAGAGCTACAGACCAAAAAGGATTTTCTGGGATTCCCTCCCACCCCCCAAAATCACAGGCATGAATGTAAGGCATCATGATCATGCATTTTCTAATACAACACAGCTCCTGGTAGCTA